ACGAGTAGAGGTGAGTTTCTACTCAGGACCACCCCTTTCTCTTTCTCCAGCCCAGGTCTTCCACTTTCCTCCCAGCCTGGATGCTGCCAACCCCGTGATGATTTGCTGTTGTGCTTTCTGGCTCCTGAGAGCCAACATCTCTGCAGTGGCTGGACCGTGAACTTGGGCAAGTGGAAGGACACAGGGCTCTGTGGAGTGGGCCAGCAAAGCAGGTTGCTCACAGCCCTCCAGGCCCAGGAGATTGGGAAGGGGAGGGCTGCTTGGGAAACAAACCCTCCACACTCCAGACCTCGTCTGAAGAAGCAGCTTTTCCCCGTGCCTGCTCCAAAATGGTCCCATCTCACGTGCTGTGCAGCCCAGCCTTCAGCTGTCTGGGGCTGGCTGGAAGTCCATCCAAACAGGATTTAACAGCCACACTAAAACCTCATCCAAGGGCAGGAGTGCCCTGAGGGATAGAATGAATATGATACAATGTGAAAGAGATAAAATTCAGATAAGATGCAGGAAAACCAGACATGACTCCTCACTGAACTCTTTATAACTCGCTAGTGGTGGGTGACACTTGTGCAGGAGGAGAGTAAGTTTTAACAGAAGGTTGTCCAGGCCAACTTTGCACAAAGCTTTTCTGAATCTCTACCTGCAGCAAAATAATTCAAAAAGAAACCCTAAAAGTAAAAAATAACAAAAAGCTTAGATTTTTCTTCATTTTAGCTGGACTTGGTTAAAAATGGATACTCCAGAAGTGCAGCATTTTTTTGTGGTTATATATGCTGGGGTTTGATTTGGTCCTGCAGGTGCAAGGGCTGCAGATTCAACCTTCTGGCAAAGATGGGAACGGGTTTCCCAATCTGGGAGGAACACCAGCCTCATTTTCCATGGCTGGCATCTGCCCAAGGGCTGCCCTCCTTTGCAGGGAGCACCGTGGGCACTCAAGGAAATCCCCAACACCTCACACCACCACCCCTTGCATCGCTTGTCCCATTCCCATCCCAGGGGACACACACCCTGTTGCACACCTCATGTGTCCATCCTTTTGTGTTTCCAAGGGATGTGTTGGTCCTGCCTCGAATACCCTGGGCTGGTCTTTGCCATGCTCAAGACCAGCTCCATCATTTTGTGCCAGCTGCTGTCCTCATGTGCCGGCCCCAGGTCTCTGCTGAGGATTTCTGGCTGCTTGTCCTCCAGCTGGGACGATGGATGCTGCTGCTGTTCCTGTCAGAGCACCCCTATGGCTGGGCAAAGGAGAGTGCTTAGGCTGTGCTGGTTTCTGCTCTGATTTTCTTCTCCCCCCATTCTCCCCAGCTCCACTAAAATGCCCAAACCTGACTCTGTGCTTTCAAGGCACCATTCTCTTCCAAACCTGAGGGGCAAAAATGCAGAGCCACTCGTGATAGAACCAACAGGGCACCCGGTGACACCGTATGAGCTGGGCTGGTGCTCCATGGAGCTGATCTCAGAGCAGCAACTTATTTTTATGGTGTTCCTGCCCTTTCTCCCAGTATTTTCCCCTTAGACTTAATGAGCTGAGCCCTCACAGGCTTCACTGTGTGCTTGCTCACAGAGAGCTCATAAGAATCAGCATTCATCCTCCGGTGCCAGGAGCGAGGAGAGGATATTAAGGATTCTGGTTTTGGGGAGACACACTGGCAGCTTCTCTTGTCCCAGAGCAGAGGCACATTGCCGGCATTGTCCTCTCTTCCTAAGGGGCAAGACTGCTGAGGATGGAGATATCTGATGTCAGGGTGGCCCCTCTGTTATATTCCTGCAGGGCAAAGCCCTAACCGCTGGCTGTGAGACCAGGTGTCAGAACCAACCCCAAAAATGCAGACACTTTCCCTAATGAAAATCCCCTTCCTACCCCATTTCAAATATTTTAGTTTTCAGCACTTTACAACAACAACAGCAATCAAAAAAAAAAAGAGGTGAAAAAAAATCAAGATTTTCCTGGGAAACAAATTCTTAGTGGAATTTTTCTGTCTGGTCCATAACAGATTATCTTGCAGGGGACTTCCCTGTTTGAATCCCAGCGCTAGCACCAGCCTGTGATGCAGGATCAGGACTGCTTTGCCTGGCTCCCAGAGCTCCTGCCATCCGGCTGAGCTCCACAAACTGTGCCTGGTGCAGGGTGGGCTCCACAGAGGGAGGGCTGTTCCCTGCACTGTGCCCTGTCATGGAGGAAAAGCAGCTTGTATCTTAACACGTTTTGCCTGGCAGGCATTTCAAAGGCTTCTCCTCTGAATCGGGGCTGCAGGCACTGCCTACATTTCCTTTTTACAGAAATTGGCAGGTTGAGCTAAGCAAAATTCCTTAATCCTGTTTATCTGCTGTCTGCTTCCCAGGAGGCACAATGCTCCTGTGGCCTCTCCAAGCTTTCCTCTATGCCATTGACAGAGTTATGTTTGCCACATTGAAGGACAAACACAGGCAGGGTGAGGGGAGGGCAACCAGTGGCCCTTGGCATGCCGGATTTTGGGATTTCAGTGTGCAGCAAGGCAGGCAAGTGCAAAGGTACTGTGCCCCTTTAGCCTTTCCTGGACTAATTAACTCCCCAGCAAATGACTTGTGTCCAGATCAAGTGCTGTGCACATGAAAATAATCCATTGCCCAGGATTACAAGCCCCAAATGATGACCTTAAGGGAGGAGCGGTGCAGTCACACTCCTCCTTGCCTGTTCCTGCTGCGCTGTGGTCCTGATGGGGCAGGAAGAGCATGGTTTGAGGATGCAGGCAGGGGAGCTGGGCTTACCTGCCTCCTGGGCCAAAATCTTGATCTCAGTGCCCTGAGGCGCTCAGTGCAGGGATGCTGCTCTGTGCAGCTGGGTTTTGTAGTCCCAAGGGTAATGAGAGAGCAAACCAGCTCTGCCCTAACCTTTGCACAGGGAAAATCACTTCTGTGCTTACCAGGCAGGAGCGCTGGTCTGGTCCTCAGGGGTTCTGCTGGGCAGCACCAGGGAGTCCATGGGGGATGGAGAATGAACTGGGGGGCTCAGCAGGCCAAGGTGTGGTGGTGGCAGCAGGTCAGGTTGTAAAGGTAGGAAGAGAGGCACTGCTGGAGTGGAGGAGGAGGAAATGCTCAGGTAAAGGCAGCATGAAGGAGGAGGAGAGAGGAGAGTCTCGTTTTTGGGGAACGGCCCAAACCCTGTGCCACGGGGAGCGACGCTCACCTCCTCGGCTGGGACGGCAGATGGACAAACCTCCAGGTGGCTGCTGCGGGTTTGAAAGCCTTTGCGGTGCTCATGTCTCAGCCCACTGCCCTCCTGGCCTGCAAGTGGTCTGTGCAGGCGTCCCTTGTTCCATGAGGTCCGTGGTGGAGGTCCAGGGGATGAATTTCGAGGTCCAGGTCCTGCCGATGGGCACAGTGGAGCGCTCCCGCAGCAGGGCTGGTGGCACACGCAGGTGCACACGGTGCTCAGCGAGCGTTGGCCCCGAAATCTTGACTTTGCAACCTGAGTGCTGTCCCAGCAAAGTCTGCGTGTGGGTATAGGCTGAGCCGGGATCCTGCCTGGATATGATTCACCTTCCTTCCCCCTCAAGGGAGGTACATTTGGGAACCTATCACCAGGCTGGCAGCTGGTGAAACACTGGCTGTCTTCTCGTGGGGCTGAGGAGGGAGGCCACCTCAAGTACGTTTCTAAAATCAGCCTCTTTCTGTTATTTACGACATAATTTTGCGTAACGAGCGTTGCTCATGAGCCTGTTCTCTGGGATGCAAAGTGAAGGACCATATGTCATGGTTGGGACTGCCAGCACATCAACACTGCAGTCGTTTGCAGACTGTTTCATATTTCTTTGATTTGGGAATGTGTGTAATTAGCTCCCCAGAACAGCCGGGTGGAGGAAACGCGGTCTGTTATTTAGGCAGAATTAACATCCTTGTTTTCTGTATTGTGATCCTTGGCTTCCCAGCGCTGCTGCCAGAGCAGTGGAGAGATCAGTGCTGAGGCATTCATTCCTTGAACCTGCCTTGGTTGCAAAACTATTTCTGCTCCTTTGCTAGGCTATCCCGAGGACCAGCAACTGGTACGAGACGTGCTGATGCTGTAATTAGTAAATATCCACCACAAGCGACAGCAGAAGATTTATAGCCACCACTGGAGCTTTCAGCAAGAGGAGAAGCACAAAAGCCTTTATGCTCACCACCAGCACAAGGGTTTGCTGCTGTTTACTGTGTTTTTCCCCAGCCTCCCAGCAGTGTCCAGCCGGCATTTCCTACCCTTTGTGCCGCAGACCTGGTGGATAAATCTTTACTGACCTGTCGTGGCAGAAGCCGGGTATGAACGTGCTGGTGGGGAAAGAGTTGCACTGTTTTAGTAGGTTAACAAACCTGTACAGGCTGTGTGCTGTTAGTATTTGGCCTCCTACCAGGCATATGATCATTCTGTTACGCTTTCCGTTCCTTTTCTGGTGGTTTGTGCAGGTTGGTTTTCAGCAGTGCCTGTATCCAATACAAAAAGCAGGAGGAGAGCACCCATGTCGAATGACCAGGCAAAGAAGATAATTTATCCCACTTACAGGCAAAAGGAGAGCTACTTTCATGCCATTGCAAGTAGAATGCCTCCCAAACACACACACCGGGACGACAGCGTGTCTGGTGCTTGATTGGCCTCAAAGTCCACAACCATATGAGCTTGGATAGAGATGTTACTGGTGTTCAGACACCTCCCTCATCATCTTTCTTCCTCACCCCTGCAGAGGCCTGTGCAGCCATGGATTCTCTGTTTCTTGGTAAATGGTGAGTTTATATTAGTCTCTCAAATAGGAAAAAATTCTCTTCCTTGTCTGGCTTGACAAACTCTTACAGGAATGAAGTCGACTTTGACATCCTTGGCTCCTACTAAATTTAGTCAGAATTGGCCATTAAGTTCAAAAGTTATTGAAGTCAGGGGGAGGGGATCAGAGTGCTTTGTTTCCCTAGGAAAACAGGCAGAAGGTGTGTGTGTGGGGGGGGGGTGTTATAGAGGAAAAATGGAAATTACTATTTTCAGTCCTATCATGCTATAACTTATCTCCCTTTCCATTTCTTCTTTTCCACGTGTAAAACAAACCAGATCATTACACTGATCACAAAATGGTCACAAAACAGATCGTTATTTCTCCCCGTTTCCCCTTTCTGCTCACTTGGCCAGCTCCACAGGCAGCATCCTTGGGTAGATTTGAACCCCCTAATCTTCTCAGCCACTCCTTTTGCTTGGGAGACCTCACTGCCTGGAGGGACACACTCGGCTCCTTGGCTGCAAATACAGCAGGGTAAGAGCAGGGGTAGTTTGTCAGGCACTCTGTACGTGGCCCCTGGCTCAGGCTGCACCAGAATTGCTCTCCCAGTGATCCCCTTGTCCCGCTGAAAGGCGCTGTGGGCCCGTTGGATGGTTTGACACCACACTGGGTACGACAGCAGGAGACGGAGCCAGAGCCAGGTCAGCTGGATGTGCTGGAACACGTCCCCTGGGAACCGCCTGACTCGGCTGCAGTAGCTGGCCCGTAGCTGACCCCCGGGCTCGTGGTGCTTCAGTCAGGGGGATGCTATTTTGATGATGCTTCTGCAGATTTAGTGTCATTTTGGCCTTGCTCCCATTGACGTTGTGGCCGTAGCTCTGGACACAGCCTCTCCTTTTGCTCTTCTCCTTTCTGCTGCCTTTTGCCTCGCTGTCCTCAGCCCTGAGCTCTGGGCTTTGCTTTCCCCAGGCAAGGGCTCAACAAACTGCTTCTCCCTTCACTTACACCAGCCCCATTCTTCTCTCTCGCGTTGCTACTTTGGTTCATAAACTTGAGGGGTATCAAACTTCAAGGTCCTTTTTTGTTATTTAGTCCTGTTTCCAGAGGTGTTTTATTTAGTCCTGTTTCCAGAGGTGCTTCAGGGAGCTTGAGGTGGTCATCCCTACTGATGAGTATTTTTCTCTCCCTCAGTCCCCACCCCTGTTTCAGTCCATTTCTTTTCCATTTGGCTTCCACTTGACCGTGCAAAAGTTTTGGCAGCTGTAGTGATATGAGCAGGCAGGAATTTGACTCATAAAAAGGCTTTGGAAATAATTGGATTCTGGGTTCATTGGGAACTCAGTTGATCAGTATAACAGAAAGAGGAATTATTTGCTGTGACTCAGAGGATGGCATTATTTTTAGAGATCAGGTGAAAGGCAAGAAGGGCTCTTTTTTTTTTTTTTTTTTTTTTTTTTTTTTTTTTTTTTTTTTTTTTATCAAAATCTGCTTGGAAGGTTTTGGTGAGATTTTGGTGAGCGAGTTTGCTGTGGATATGTATTTATAGGACACCATGACCCTGACGGTTTCTTTTAAGACATTTGCAAAGTCACTGTTATTCTATGGAGACATACATGTAAATGAGTTGACATTTTCCCAATGATAAAAGGCCAACTCCAACAGAGAACCACAGAATTATAGAATCACTTAGGTTGGAAAAGACCTTTAGGATCATCAAGTACGTCCATCTGATCTCTTTTTGACTACATGTTGCAGAATACTTGTAAATGAATGCAGAAAATAGATATTTGTGGTCACAAAAGGGCATGTTTGAGAGATTGCTTCTGTGGCTTTTCCCAGGGTGATACTGGTCTGCCAAGCAAAGGAGACTGTGAGCAAGGAGCCAATAGTAGCTCGTTAATAAGGTTTGTTTTGTAAAAAGGCCCATTTGAGTTAGCGGTTAAAATGCTCTCTCTTCCCTTGACTTCTGCTGGAGTAAGCCACTGACTTTCTGTAATAATTTTTATCTGTGTGTCAAGAATTTAACCTCGAAAGCATAACTGGACTGCATTAATTGAGCTTCATCTGATCTCCAGCTGAACTGATGGTCAACAAACAAACAGAGCTTTCTCAGGATGGGGTTCCCTTGCATTTATGTCGTCCACAGCACTTTCACCTCCCGGGCAGAAAGGTGTTCCCCAGACCTTCTGTGGTGCACTTTCTGGGAGCCATGAATCCCCTCCTTACAGCTTATTTGTGTCAACCATAAAATATCCCCAAGCCTCTTCTTCCAGGGAATGTGGGGGTCAGAAGAGGTCCTTTTGGACTGTGCAGCATCTTCCAAACATCCACAGGGTCTGGCACCTGGAGTAAAGGGCTCATTTGGTAAGATCTAGTCTTACTTTTATATTTCCCTCCTTGCTGCATCCTCTTTGAGGAAGGTATGGATTTCCATTTCCATTATATATATATATATATATCTATATATATATATATATATCTATCTGAAATGTACATACAAGTACATACAATGGGTGCCTGCGCATGTGTTTTCAAGGAATATCAAGCTGCTGTCCCAATTTTTTTTTCACTAAAACTAAGCCTATCAGGGCATTATGTTTTCACAATGGGATTCTCAGGTTCTTTTTCTCTCTGAGTCAATCTTAGTGTTGTCCACATTTGAACGTGAATATTCTGTTCTAGCCTGGTTTTAGTTCAGAAGGAGAGCTGTGAAAGATCTGGTTAATTCAGGTGCTCCAGGAATAGGGAAAGGGAGAAGATGAAAGGAAATGTGCAATAGCAAGACCCATGGGTACTAAGAGAGCTGTGGGGGAACCTAAAACCATAAATTACTCTGGGCTCAGGAGGAGGTGCCTCCTTGAGACCTTCCATGGGAAGAAACGCAGAAGGAAAAGCCTTTTCACTTGTGCCTAACGGGATGCCAGCAAGTGGCAGCAGCTCCCTGCCTGACACTGTCCACATCTCACATCATCCGCCTCCTCCTTTGTTTATCTGAAAACAGAAGGAAAAAAAAAAAAAGAAAAGAAAAAGAAAAAGTTCCCATCAGAAGTTCTCCTGACACTACTGGAATAGCTTAGCCCAGGGCTGCAAGAGGTAATCTGAAAACTGGGGAAAAAGTCCTGCTCTGATCCCCTTGTGGAGAGGTCCAAGGGGACCAAGCAATGTGGAGGAAAGGAGAAACGTTGGGTTTGGGAAATATGGAATTCCATTTTTTTTTTTTTATTTTTTTTTTTTTTTTTCAGGAGGAGCTCCTGTTGCTATTCTGGTTTCTGTGTCTTCAATCATCAAATGCTGCTTTTGTCTTTTGATAGGGCAAGGAGGAAAGGGTACAATAGCGTTCTGACAGCCAGGCACACCCCAATTCTGTGGTTTAAAGCTTTCTTTGTGCTGAATTTGTTCTTATAGTGCTAATGACCAGGTTGCCATAAATAGGCACTAAATGGGTCTGGGCACAGTAAAGGAAAGTGAAGGTCAGTGTTGGCTCTTATGTTGTATTTTAGATCCCTGTATCAAAGAGCTTCATAAGGAAGGGGAAGGTGCATTTTCAACTTGGGCTTCCTTTCAGATACAGAGGGGGGAAAGTGAGGCATGAAAAAAATTGCTTCTCAGAGTAGGATGGGCATGAGAATGGATGTGGGCTCAGCAAGATATCGCCACAAAATTCACTCCACATTTAAACCAAAAGTAAAGGTGCCATTGAATTCAGTAGGGGCAGGACTTTGTCTGCCTCCCAACTCGAGCAGCCTAAGCTCTGAGCCAAGTATCCCAGACTACATGTCTGTAGGAGGAAGGTGGTTTTGGGATGCTGAGGAGCAGATGCTTTGCTGGCCACAGCGGTTGCCTGAGGAAGGATGGGAAGGGATGTGGAAGGTGCCTGTGTGTGAAAGCAGGTGCTAGATTGTGTGGCCCATGTAGAGCTGATATCTCATTTTGCAGTCCCAGTACCTGACAACATGTTCCCTTGATGGCTTGGTCACTGAGCCTGGCACTCTGACAAGACAACACCCCTTGGGTGGGTGCCAGCTGGGCGAGAAATGTGCCCTTGTGAGAAGCTCAAGTGTCCTCCCCCTCTGCCTCACTGAACACCAGGTACAAACGCCTGTCTTGCACGCTGCGTGGGGGAGGAAGCCATGGGGTGTTTTTAAAGATGGGCAGTGCCAGTGGTTTAGTGGCTACCTTTCTTTTACCTGCCCAAAGCGAGGTTTTGAATGAATGTTACAGCTTGAGCACTGAACCACACCGCTCCTTGGAGGTACCAGACCCCATGGCTGGCCACACAGGCCCGGTTATGCCCCCAAAACTAGGGAAGTTTAGGATATGCTTCCCTTTCAACCTGCTACACTTAGGTCTACAAGCATCCAAACTGGTAGGGATTTTACTAAGGGGGGATAAGCCAGAGCCTAGCTTGGATGCAATCCCTCAGTAAGACTCTGGTGGTAAAAAACTAACAAATCAGGCAGGGCAGAGTCCCTCTGAGGATGAAAACACTCTCCTCTGGGTACTGGTGGTTGGATGGTAGGGAGAACAAGGACAGTGCAGCACCACCAGGGAACACCAACTCTTCTCCCAGTGACAGTGGCTGAAGAAGGTGCCAGAGTGATATCTCATGTGAAATCAAGCACAGTTCCTGACTAAGAAGGTTGCTCTTCACTTCAGGGATGTGTGAGACCATTATGGGTTGGCAACGCCGGCCTGTGCCCTGCAGATGCACTTTGGGGACCACATTGCTCACCATTTCCCAGGGGTTCATGGAGCTGGGCAGAAACAAACTTCACTGCTGTTGCTGCAAAGTGGATTATGGGTGGGCGAGGTACAGGGAGAAGTCATAAAGAAGTCAGAAAGCAAAGGTTTTATAACACAGTAACACAGGCTTTATAACACAGTAACACACAGCAAATCCTGGGGAGGACACAGATGTGACAGGTTATAGCTCTGGAGGCAATGCCAGACACTGGTGATATCTGCCAGCCCCTGTGGGTCTATGTTCAGCTTGCAGAGGCTCAGGAAATACTCCAAAAGGAAGAAAGAGAGGGAGAAGTTGTCCTGCAAGGCAGGCTGTCAGCTGTTGCTGTGCTAAGAGGGTCAAGCTCATTTTTGGGCAGCTCTAGGCAGCCGCCTCAGTTCGTGTAGGTCTGGTGTTTGTGGAACACCCTGTGCCTCCTGGACAGACCAGGAGTGGCCTGCTCCTCTTTTCTTTCGAAGAAACGACCCCTCCCTTTTATGCTCCTTTATTTTTCCCTACCACCTGTGTGTGCTCAGAGCTTCCCCTCCCTGGCATCAGCCGCTGTCGGCGGCTCGGGTGGCCGAAGCTGAGCCTGAGCAGGCATTTTCCAGAACAAGACAGCCAGTGCCCAGTACAGAACCAGCTTTCCAAGTGGGACAGGCTGGGCTGGAGCCCAGGGGATGACCTTTTCTGCGTGGCATGTTCCCGTGTAATGTGACCTGGTGTCGCTCAGCTGCCAGGGCGGTGTTGCGACAGGGCTTTGCTGGCCTCTGCATTGTGCAGGCAGGACGTGGCATCCCTCCCCCAGACCCAGGCACCGCTGGTAAACCATAAACCACACAGGACGCCAAGCAAATTCTGCTGTTCTTCATTTTATGTCGCTTAGGGTGGAAGTATTTGACCTTAAGTTACTCGTCCTCCTTTGAAAAGGGAGTTTGTTTCTTAGGAAGGATGGATTTTGATTCTTTGGTTTTGGGATAAATCTGGTATGAATCCACACATTGTCTCATGCTGCCCGTCCTCCCCACCCAGACAGGGGCACTACTGTAGTGGTTGTTGTTCAGGTAGGGAATCTGAACCACGCTCTGTGCTCTCAGGTTGTGTCCAGGCAGAGATCCAGGAGCAGGGACACTTTTGGCTGCTGTGCAATGCAGGCTGTGTACCCAGTGTAAATTAAGTATACCACTCACTGGTAAACAGCTCTGTTTAACACATCAGCTCAAGTGGGAGACAATCCAGTGTGAAATGCTTGCATCAAGATGAAATCACTTCTTTTCCACTATCTTGCTTCATTCCAATACATCCAGGCTTGAGCCTGTGATAGTCTGTAGAGAGGGTGAAATGCAAAGAGGTAGAAAATAAAGCTCTGAATCTGCCACTGCAAAATTCAGCTCCCTGGCTTCTCATCTCAGCAGGCATCTTGCAAAATGTAACATATCTTCCTCTTAATTCCCTTACCTGCACTGCAGACTCAAACACCACAGGTTTCTTCTGCTTTGGGCATTAGAGAAACAAGATGTTTCTCTAGAAAAACATCTTCTCTAGAAACATCTTGTTTCTCATTAGAGAAACAAGATGTTTCTCTAATGGGAAATTATGGAGATCTTTCACAGAAAGGTGAAGAAGAGAATATCCAGAAGAGGGACAAAGCAAGTAAAAACTTAAAATTGCCCTCCAAAAATTGGACTCTGGAATTTATGATTTGTTTTGGCTCCAGTCAAAGGTAAGTTTTTGGACTCAATAAAAAAAAAAAAATTAAGAGGGGCTGACTGAGTAAAATAAGATGACTTTTGGAATCTGGATGGTCAAATGAGAGTATTCAGTGTTATTATTCTGATCTAAAAGAAAGCAATTAATAAAATACTTATTTTACCTATGTGTTCAGTTTCTACTGTTTTCAAGTCTTACTTTCCAAAGTCAGCTCAACTACTGGGAAAAGAGTTGTTTGTTTGCTTGCTTGCTTTTATTTATTGTTCCTTTGCCTTGGGTAAATTCTATCTGCAGCTTTTTAGCTATTGGTGCTAATGATGTCTCTGCAGGCAACCTGGTTTGACTCCGAGAATGCAGGTGGGGTTTGTAACAGTAGCGCTTTAGAAGACCTTCCCTTTTGACCTCCTGATGAAATTAGCCCTGGTCTGGCTGTGCACAGAGCATCCCCTCTGAGCACAGCTGCAACGAACAAGCAGGAATTTCTGAGACAGCACAAACTTCCACAAGATTATCAAATGACAGCAGGTTGGAAGTATGTAATGAGCAGCATGGGTTCACTGACTAAGCATCCCTAAAGGGACTGGTGCTTAATCCTTTCGTAGATGGTGCCCTCTCACCCTGCTCTGAAGGAGGAGGAGGCAAATGTGCTCTAGAGAAATGACATAATTGAGAGGAAGGTTGATTTACTGCTATTATGAGAGTAAAATGGAGTTTGCCTCCTCTGCCTAGAGAAGGTCAATCAGGCCACTCTGCATGGTCCTTGATTTGTTTCCACTCCTGTCTTTTGGGAGGCCAGAGGGCTCCCCCTCAGCACACAGCAGAACAAGCCTTCATCAGCCACCTTTGCAAATCCTCCCCTGAAAGAATCATGGCAGTGAGAATTAAGTTCCTGCTCACAGACAAGACCATTTCCCTCAGGATTAGCAGCTCTGGCTGTCACAGCTCCACATCAGAACATGCATGTGTGTGTGTTAAGCCATCCCTGAGGGTTTGCCATCTAGACACCACATGTCGGGGGAGAGGGGACAGTTTGAGTACCAAGGTTCCTGCCCGGGTTTTTACAATCCGTGCAAACAAGCTTGTGTTTGTGTTTCACTGATACTTTTATCTGGGGTAAGTCTTATGAGACCAACACAGGTGTATGTGTGGAGCTGCATGCCATCACACCTCCTGATTGCACCTACAGGCATCACCCCGGCATCAGCTGGAATCTCCCTGGAATCATCACCCTGGCATCAACTCTTCACCACCCTTGCTTCACCCTGGCATTCCAATGACTGCAGATGACTGCATTATTTCCCTGGATGCTGGGAATGTCCTTAGAGCTGAACAACTGTCATCTGGTTTGGGATACTGTGAATTCCTGGCACCAATGTCCCCTTCTGTCTTGTCCCTGCCCTGCCTTACCCCCGCCCCTGCCCTCTTGCTCTGTGGCAAAGGGCCCACGTAGCAGAGGAGGCATCACACAGATCTGTCTGGCAGGTTTGTAGTGAGAGGGGTGTGATGACCCCGCACATTCATCAGATGGTTGTTTTCAGCCTGGACCCATCTGTGATGTTTTCATTATTTTTTTTTTTCCTCCCTCTGCTCAGCCCAGGCTGCTCCGGGAGCAGTGGCACGTAGGCACATACGTCCTTGCGCACGCTATACTTGTATAAACTCCATCAGGAAGTCATCTGGCCAAACTTCCCAGAGCTCTGCTTTTAACTCTTCCCTATGCAGGCTGCACTGGCAGCCAGGGGATTTCCAGGGGAGTGTGGACATGTGCATTCATACCCCTTTTCTGTTTATTGATTCCCACAGCTCTCCCCCTGCCTACAAGCCCCGAGCATGTGGCTGTGCAGCTTTTGCACCCATCCTACTCCGAGTTCCCACCAGAAGGAAGTGTCCTTCAGCTGTGCACTCACAGGCACGCACAGGGCTTTGCAATAAAAGTGTCTTGGCTTTTCTGGAGGGTAAGGCAGCAAAAGCCAGATATCAAAATGTGCCAGAGCAGGACTGCCCCAGCGGGACAGAAGGAAGGAGTGTTGGTGGGGTAAAGCTGTCAGCTGTTAGGGGTTATTATTTTCAGAAGTGTGTCCTTACCAGGCACATGAGTAACAAAGGAAGTTCTCACAATACTTAAATGTTTGCTGTGGTCAGGGAGGGATTAAAAGAACCCAACCTCTTCAGAAGTGACCCTCTCTTCAACGAAGACGTGTCTCACTGAGTGTCCCACTCTGCACAGAGGCACGACAGACACCCACAGAGGCACATCAGACATGTGCATACAGACATTTCAATGTGCTGAGAAAAACCCTGGGAGACTCCTCACGTAGCAGAAAGGCTGCTATTCCTCCCCATGACGTGTGTGAATTAACAGTTATCCATTTGTTAAATGCAAAATAACAGTCATCCCATGTTGTTAGTGCCTGTCAGCTGCCCACTGACAGATTTCAATGGCTCTTACAAGATTTATCCCTGGAAGTGTTCAGGAAATGACGTGGTTGTGCTATGGTTTAGTTGACAAGGTGGTGATCAGTCAAAGGTTGGACTCGATGATCTTGCAGGTCTTTTCCAACCTTAATGATTCTATTCTATTTTGGACCCCACTGCACAGGGGTGAATAACTGGAATTTCTGGAGATGTTATCCTCTGCAATTGGGTTTGGAGCAGGAATGTCTGAGCTTATTTGCTGTTTGGCCAATGGTGCTGGACACTTTTTGCTTCTGCTTACTCTGGTGTGAGTATGAAACAAGTATCAGAACACCCATGGTAGTGCTACCTCTCTTGACATACACTGTAAACCAGCCCAGAATGAAACCATTTATCCATGAAGTTGCTCACAGACATTTGTCCCTGGTTTACTTCATGTTCATCTTCTCATGTGTTACAAAACCATGACATGGTAAAATAGATATCACAGGTCTGCATTTTTCTCCTGTGTTCACAGATGGAAATAAGAAGTGACTTCATTAAAGTTAACTCAGTTACCCTGGTGTAAATTTTGCCTTCTGTAACAGATTTACAGGCATCTGTCTGAGGTAGAGGTATGTGACTTTGCATTCAACCTTGCTCAGACAGGTCTGGTATGGAAGGGATTCAACTGCCAGAAGTTCCCAAAAATCTAGGGATGACTTTTACAGCAGGCTCATCCACTGCAGACACGTTTCTCCTCTCAAACAGCTGTTTGTGTGCCACAAACAGCAAAGGAGCCTTCTGTTTCTGTCAGACTCCTTCTGAACCTCAAGAGATACAAACCAGGACTGGTCACCGACTGGATCCCGGAGGTATTTAAAGTGCTCCCTCGTCACCTCCTCTCCTGCAGCTGGAGGAACCAATCAAGCTGTCATGGTCCCTCGAGGAGGTGGAGAAGCTCTGAGGGCTGAGAAACATGTAGGCTTTTGACCAAGCATGGTGCTTTCCTTTTCTCTTAATTTCTTTCTTCAGGTCTTTTGTTGACATGGGTTACTCCTCCACCTCCTCAACTGGAGAATCACGAATCTGGTTTCTTCCCCAAAAACTAGACTCAGTTCCCCCATTATGACAAGTCATTGGTATCCTGAGGTTTTGTACGGAGAAAAGGATTAGAGATGTTAGGATCATGTTTACTCTGAGGGTAGTGAAGCACTGGAACGTATTGCCCAGTGGATTCCGCATCCCTGGAAGAACCCCTTCAAGGCCAGGCTGGACAGGGCTTGCAACAGCCTGGTCTAGTGGAAGGTGTCCCTGCCCATGGCAGAGGGGTTGGAACTGGTTGATCTTTAGGGTCCCTTCCAACCCAAACCATTCTATGATTCTATGATGAAAGAAAGCTACCACCCATCCTGCTCTTCGCTTCTTTGGCTTTCTGCCTCTCAGTGGTGGAGAACAGAAGGTTTTCTAAGGTTGAACTCACAACACAGACTCAGCTCCATGTGTGCTGGCGTAAAGGGTGGGCTTGCTCCATGTTTCCCAAGTCCTTCCTCAGGATGCCTGAGGCTCTGCTTACTGAGGCAGTCCCTCTCAAACAGCAGCAGCAGGCGGGGACTCGTCTCCTAAGGCACGTTATTGCTGCTGCTATGACGCTCCTTGGGGCAGAGGAGGGAGGGGAGGCCTGCGAACACCTGTAATGAAATTGTTCATGTTGCTCACCAAGGCCCTGATTTTTGTCTGACAGCCCGGAGTGAAGAAACTATTGAACACCCAAATCACAACAACTCCCTCTGCCACCTTAGGTAAGCCAGCGCTCACCAACTGACAAGCCAAGGGCAGCAGAGATTTGCCTTCCTATTTTAATGGACTGCAAATGAATTATGTGTAAGTGCTGTGGGAATGTTCTCGAAGTGTCCAGCAAATGAGACAAACCTGTACAGCTTGGGGAACTGGAGCAGGGCTGTGAGTTGGCGAGGGCACCTTGTGTGGCCCCTGGCCAGAGCTGGGACCACCACCCCCATCACTCCAGGCCCTGGTCTTGTTTAGCCTGTCTCAGAATTCCCAGGGATAGGCCAGCTCAAGGATAAATCCCTTCTCACCAAGCTTTAAACACAAACCTAGAGCAGGGAGAAACTGGCTCATTTCTGCCTGGAATCCCACGTGGCTGCTGGGCTTTCTGTGCAGAGGTAACCTGATGTGCAGACTGGAGAGAAGGTACTCTTGTAGGTGCATTTGCACCTCCGAGACAGAGCCTTTGGGATTAAGTTCCCGACATTTAGGACACAAAAGGATGTGCAGTGCTCAGTCCTGACCTTTCCGTAACCTGTGGAGAAGCAACAAAGATTCCCTTCAACCATGTATGGCATAAACAGCGAGGAACGCGCACGTAACGAAGTCAGAAAGGAATCTGATAGAGAGCCCCGAAGATAAATGCCACTTTAGGCAATGTTGCTTTAAGCTGTTGACAGGAGCACTATCCGGAGAGGAACTGTGAGGTTTAAGTGCTTCTCTGCTTCTGGGTGGGAGAAGGTGTCACGTAAAATGCGTTTTGTGTTCTTGTTTCATCTCCCCCTCTCCACTCTCCTCCGATGAGAGTGTACACACCGAAAGCATTAAAAACAGACTGCGGAGAGTTTGCTTCACCAACACATCTCCACATCAAAGGCGTTGCTGGAATCTATTGATTCTGGCAGAACTGCAGAATGCTGTGTTGGTTTTAGTGAGAAATCGTGCATTTCTCAGTTGATTTCGGGAAAGGTTAAAAAAAAAAAAAAAAAGGGAAAGAAAAAAGCTCCATCTTGTGCAAATATTCACCCTACAGAGAGGCTGATAAACTGCAAAACGGTAGGGCTGTCCCCTCAGTGCCAGCAATTACTCAGGGATGACTTTATTGACAGACAACAGAGCTTTAGCTTCTGTGATGTTACAAAAAAACCTGTCCTATTTAAGTTTTGTTTTCTCTGTTTCTGAGTAACATTTGACAGTTCTTGCCAATCCTATTGTTTGCTTCCTATTTCTGAAGCAATGCCCCCTGTGCCAGTGAACAGCACTGGGGCACAGCACCATGACTTATCTCAAAAACCCAGAGATTATCGACTACACCAGGTCAGAACTGCAGGATAGATTGTTGCTATGCTTTAGGAGTGGCCTCTGATAACAGGTGTACCTTAACAGCAGCCTCACTGGAAGACCCATCAGC